ACGGTTATCTGGCGATTTCTTCTCTGGTAGTCCCAGAAATCCCCGTTAGGACGCATCATCATCATTATACACGTTAGCTAGAGGTGGGAAACCCCTCAGCTACTGTGCCGCAATACATAAAGAAAAATAAAAATAAATACAACAGTTGCATGCCAGCTGAGCTACCAGCAACGGATAGGTATCGTCCCGGTAAGCTACCAGCCGGCTACTAGGCAAAAAGAAAAATTATTATGTAAAATTATATTACGCTACGAAATGAGATCGTGGTTGGATGGGGAGGCTAAAAGGGGTGGGGAGGACAAAGAAACTCACAACACGAACCCCACTGACGTCGACTCTTTGACATCTCAGCAAGTGTATTTATCCAAACGTGTTCATCGTCTTTTGGACCCCAACCAGGGAGCCGTGACGCTCCAACCGAGGCCAGATCCGAAGTGAGGGCCTTCATTCTTCTAACCACGTCATCGCTTGGCCACGTCTCTTCTTCCATCCACACCGGCCGCGCGCAAACAACGCACATCGCGGAAGTCGGTGGGCTCGCATGCGCAACACGTCGCCGAGCCATCGGAGCCTGGTGCGTGAAATGACGGTGCTGAACGGTTCTTTTCCTTTGCCGTAAACAGTGCGTCGAACACGCTCGTTACTCACGCGATGTTCCCACCAGATGTGAGCCAAACTGCGAAGGCACCGATATTCGAACGTAACTAGCCTCTTTATGTCTGCTGATCTAAGGGGCCAGGTTTCGCAACCGTACAGTAGGGTCGAACGTACCGTTGCATTATACACTCTACCCTTCAGGGCGAGGTTGATGTCGCGCCGCAGCCATAGGTGGCGAAGGTTGGCGAAAGGACTTCGAGCTTTTGCTATACGGTTCATGATCTCATCCTCAATTCCACGGGCGCTGATACAACTTCCCAGGTAGTGGAATTTCTGAACGACCTCTAGCAGATTCCCACCAATGGGTCAGCGCAGGAGACGATCCCAGCCAATCTTGGAGGAACAATTTGCACTTCGATAGTGCAAAGCCTGAAGCTGCTGACAGCCAGTGCTAATCTGTCCAGCGCGGCTTGATACGTCTGAAAACCGTCACAGATTAGGGCAATATCGTCTGCTTACTCGAAGTCGAGAAGTCGTTCTCCTGGGAGTAGCTCCACATCTTCTAAGTCATGCAATCTCCATGACTTCGTCAATATCGAAGTTGAAGAGAAAAGGTGACAGCGGGCATCCTTGTCTCACACCGCTGGAGATAGTAAAAGGCGACGACAGGTTGCCGTAAGCCTTCACTCTGCTCGAGTTAAGCGTGTGTAATGCTCGGATAATATTTACAGATTTCTCGGGCACATCTTTCCTGAGTAGACAATTCCAAAGCGCACATCGATCAACCGGATCGAAGGCACCTTTGATGTCGAGGAATACGACTACGATGGGCCGCCAACATGTGTGACGGTGCTCCAACAATTGACGCGAAGTGAAGATGTGGTCGATGCAGCCACGACCTCGGTGAAACCCAGCTTGCTTCTCACGAGTCTGGCTTTCACGAGCGCCAGTCAGTCTGTGAAAGAATATGGAGGCGAGTAATTTGGAGGCGATGGACATCAGACTGATTCCTCTATGGTTGCCGCATTCCGAACGCGAGCCTCCTTTAAAGATGGGAACAATAACGGAGCAGCTCCATTCGTTTGGGACAATCTCCTGCTCCCACAGTTTCACTAGTAATTCATGTAAATCATCAACAAGTTCAGAGCTCACGAATTTGAGGAAGGCTGAAGGAAGGTCGTCTGGTCCCCCGGCTTTGTTCAACTTCAACAGTCCGAACTTACGTTTGACTTCTGAGCGAGAGGGTAGATCCAAAGGGACAGCCCACGGGGCAGAGCGATCAGTGGCCGGCGAAGAATCGAACAATTCTGATTGATTAAATTTCTTTTCAAAATGCTCAGCCCAACGCTCTAAACGTTTTGACAAATTGCGGATAGGCTATCCACTATCGTCACGTAAAGTTTCACTAACACCAGGTCTCCTGCTACCCGTTTCCGATATCAGACGGAATAACTTACGATGGTTCCCAAGGGCAGCGGCCACTTTGATCTCTGACGCACGGTGACACTACCAAGATTCGCGATCTCTCTTTAAGCTAGTACGGTGTTTTGCCCGGAGCTCTTTGCGAGTTTCATTGTGTTCGCTCCCAGCCGGGATATGCCGGCGAGCATCGATAAGTTCCAGAGACAGCGAAGAGACCCAATGTCCATGTTGGCTATTAGACTTACCACATGAGGATTTGTCTGCTGCTAGTAAGGCCTGGTGAACATGTGACCAGTGACCATCAGTTGTCTCCAATGAGCGCTTACTCAACTCGCATATCAGCGTAATTTGATAGGCATTCAGAACAGCTGGCTTTGTCAGTTTGCTGGTGTCAATGCGCTCACAGCGTCGTCCTGGGCGCCTGCCAAAAGGCATTCGCATGTCAGCACGCACAAGTGCATGATCGATGTCCGCACATGTGCTCCAAATCGAGCGACAGTTCTGGATGCAGCCACTCTAGCGGTAACTGATTGCAATGTGATCGATTTGCGTCCAAAGCCGGTTCGAGGCTCTTGGGCGCCAAGTCACCCTCCGGCGAATGCTGTGTCGGAAGTTAGTGCTCGCAAGAAAGAAGTGAGCATCGTCACACAAATGAAGTAACCGCTCACCGTTATCATTACGGGAGCCTACACCGTGCTTACCGCCCAAATGCATTTCATCAGTGGACAACTTTCCAACTTGTGCGTGCAGATCCCCCGCCAGCACAACAGTGTGCGTGTTTTTTTCTGTGACGAAGGTGCTGGGTCAGTTAGCGGCAGAAGTCCTGTTTTACCGAATCATCGCTACAGTTTGTGTGTGCGTAGACAGCGGTGATGCATAGACACCTGTTAGTCCCGCGCGACTTCGAAGCTTTAAACGAGCCAGCCAATCGGACCGCACACATCCGGCTACTGATTGGGATCCAATCAATCAGAGCAGCTTCAGCCCGGGGAATTAGGGCAATGCCAACACCAGGTTGGCCGGTGCTCGAAGCTGCATCGTCGCCGGATAGGCGCAATGAGAAAGTGCCGCTGGTGTCATCTGAAGGGGATAGCAGAGTGAGCACAGAGCTCGAGTCTTGCAGGCGGGTCTCCGATAAGCAGCAGATATCGATCTTGAGGGTCTCCAATGTTCGGGCATTGCTGCCTGTTGACCGATCTGTAGCAGTGTGAGTACATTGAGGCATGCCAATCTGAAGGAGGATCGAGGATTCCAAATGGAAGCAGATGAACTGGGCTTGATCGCTTGCTTGGACATAGGCCTGTTGACAGGGCAGGAATGACACTCCGCGTTCGCATGTGAAACTAAAGGACAAGCGACTATTGAAGCATGGTGGGGGAGGGTCGAGAATTGGGGGGTTGAAAACAGGGGGGATAAAAGTGAAGCTGGACCGGGACGGTAAGATAGAAGAAGCATAAGAGGGGGAATAAGAAGACGGGAAGGCTTGAGCAGTAGCATCCAAACCCCCATCCACTCTGCTCGATGCAGTAAATAGGGCACCGTAGATTATCCTCTGCGGTGGCCAAAGCATCAGAAATTTGTTTAAACAGATTATGCGAATTATGCTCGTCAACTAGCCACGGACATGCGTCACTACCAGCTTCTCAACGTTCGAGAACAACGACATAAATTTTTTGTTCCACTAGACATGCAGCATTCTTCGTTCGCTTTTCCCCGCCTGGAGCGACCGTACGAAGGTCCTTTCAAGGTTCTGCACCGTAAGGACCGCGTCTTTCTCATCGACCGTCGTGATAAACGAGAAGACGTTACGATTGACACTCTCAAGGCTGTCCACATGGAACCTGAGCTCAATGGAGACCCTTGCTCATCTTCTGATGAATCAACCTAGCCTATGATGGATGACTCGCCTGCTTCCAACACCTCTGACCTCAAGCATCACCCTCAATCCAAGCCTTCCACTACATCTCCGCCGCTTCCCATCGATCCAACCGCCACGTCTTCAGCAATTCCTCCAACATTGCGATCCGATATATCGTCTAAGACGACGCCTTCCTCCGATCCGCACAAGTCGACTAGGTCAGGTAGGTGCGTTCATTGGCCAGTGCGATTAAAGTATTAGTATTCCTTCCACTTTTCTCGCTTTCCTTTTCCCTTTTGGCCAACACCGTACGTAAGCCAAAAAAGTCGGCAAAGGCTTTTGAAAATGCCAAAAAACGGACAACACTTTTTGAAATCCCAAAAACGAAAAAAAACGTTTTGAAGCTGGACAAATCGCGGTCAGATCGGGTTCTTGCGGAAATTCGACTGCCACCCCGAGTCATCAAGCGCTAGAACATGTTTCCAGAATTTGTTATCAGAGAGTCTACGGTTAAGAGGTTTGAGCGTCAACTTGACGCTCTTGGGTGACAACACGGAAAAATTCCCTTTTCCTGAGTAACTCGCATCTTCATACCTCGATCTTCTTTTCTCTACTTTCCTTCGTACATTAGTATTATCCTCTTATTTCAAGTGCACTTCCTTATTCTGTACCTTCGATTTTCCTATCCTTCGTTTATTTTAGATGACTGCCACAGCAGGGACTGCTAGTGCAGTAAACATGGGCAGTAATTGGTTGATCCGGGGGTGATTCGCTTGTTCCGTTTTAGACCCATTAAGAACTCCGAGCACCTCATTAGTTCCTGACTAAACGATTCACTCAAGAAAGAACACTCACGGGATTCTTCTATCGTTTCAGTCCCACCTGAATCTCGGCAAACCCTTTGTGTTATCTGTTAGCTGCTCTTTCTGCTTTTCTTGCTGAGGCTACCGACAGCTAGACATGGTGTAAAAATGCATTCTACATCACTAACATTTCCTTATTTTCATGCCAACTACAGACTAGTTGTATTCTTAAAAGGCAACTTTGTCGGTAGTAGTTCGTTGAAGGTCTTAGTCAACCTTGCTCATCAGCATTTTCATTTCCTTCTGGGCTTCCGTTTCAGAGTTTTCTGCGCAGAAACCGTCTATGTGGCCATTGATCTTACAGTTTATTCGGGCGAATTCCCGGTACATCGTGCTCCCATTCTGCATTCCATTGGGATTTGCTGGATTTCAATTTGAATGGAGAGTCCGTAAGCCAGAGGATATTTCGAGTGCTAAACATCTTCCCAAATCCACTGTTTCCGAAGCTCGTAATCAGCGTCAGCTAAATGAATCTGTTACGAACAAAGCTGGTGAAAATATACCGGACCCGTCCTCCTCACTTGACTACCGCGGCGAATTGATATTTGATAAGAACAAGTAGTCTTTTCTCGACTTCTCTCTGATGCGCATATTTCTATGTACTATCGCTAGTGATTCGCATAATACTAAGAATTCATTTTCCTCGTTGTCTCTTTTGGTAGAGGCTTCGATGCAACGAGCCGCCAATTTTACCTTCTACTTTGTGACCGCTAATCTTTGTGTACTTTCAAGTACATTCACATGCACGTTGATACTACTACCTCCGGTAACATCGCGAATCTGTTTCTTCTTGTTTCACCGGAAGATTCAACAATTTACTGGTAGCTTCCATTTGGCACTGCTCTTGGCTCTCATTTTCCCTCGACACCCCATTTGCTACCTTGATTTTTCTTACATGTGTAACCAAGTGGGGGAACAGATTGATGCCTTTGGTGAGGAGGAATCACTAATCCTTAAGGACCAACATTGCATTACCAGGGACACATTGTTGACGTTTTCAATTCATGTCGCCTCGCTGCTTTTTCGCTTCATTATCGATTTCTTCTCAGCATCGAACTGTCCCTTGGCGTGGTACGACTGTCTGTATAACTTCGTGATCCACTGAGCCGTACAGTGATGCTCTCGGGCTTCTTGAGATCTGCTCCCAGCTTAGCCAGTGACTATTGGTCGTGATAATAATATTATGGTCTTCTGAGCTGATATCAGAACCTTATTGTCATCCCAGTATCCAATAGTCCCTTGAAATCAGCTACCAATTCACAGCTATGCTTTGTTTTTTCTGGTAACGTTCGGTATCTACACACTCTCGATAGACAGGCGAAGAGGTTGCATTCGCATACACGTGGCATACTTCAGGAGTTGACATGTTCTGCGTCTCAGAAACTGGAATCTACAGCTCCCATGCGGTTACCGAGCTAACTGCGTTTGTCGTATCTCCTCGCTATTGATTTCATGCATCCGACGATACGGATGCAGCAATCATTTTTCGTGTTTGAATAGGCTGAATTCTTGCTGATTGATAGGGTGCTCGTGTGAGGTCATCTTTATGCAGTCTGCTTGACAAAGTCACTTGCTGCGCATTCCCCAACTAAAAGCGATCCATATTCTGCCGAAGTATTATACGGCTAAAAGGAGCGAATACCTCGCAGGGCACTATGACACCAGACTGTGCCGACAGCTTGAATAGGCTTTACGCCATCCACGCGGAGGGCCGACCAACTATGGGATCCAGGGGCGAAATGAGTGGCTGACAAATTGTTGAATATCGACTAAGTGCACGAAGACCGCGCCTTGACGCGAACACACGGCTAAATATGGCAAACTGGGCCAGGGGAACGCGGTCACATTGGTCGAGGCCAGAACGCCGAAGATGCCAGAATCATGACTGACCTATAAATAGAACTATGCTTCTCATAGAGTACACACCGTCTGTCGAGCTTTGACTTTTTGTTTTCACGGTTCGTTTGGGCACCAGTCAAAGCGGATTGTAGGCAACAGTACAACACATAGACACGTTTTATCGCAGACTTAACGTGCTGCCACGCAGTATAATAAGCTTCAACACGGTTCTGGTTGCAGCAGACATAAACACGCAATTAGGCCGTTCAAGTTCTTCGGAGTCACTTATATGTTTGATATCCGCGGCTCTTTTTTTGAACGCACGGCTGGTCGTAAGTGCCTATAGTAACTGTTGGTCGGTAATTGGTTGACTCAATGTAGCACTATATTCGGCTGCAATGGATGCCAATTCGCCATTTAGTGCCCTGCAGCTGGCCAGCAACGAACGCAGTTGAATGACATCGATGTAGGCTCTAGTTGTTATTGTTCCATAGGCATCAGCAGTACGGCGACGCTTCGCTGCCCCGCAACCACCTCTAGTCGCACGTGGGCTATGGATACTGCGTGGGTCGCCCAGCCCTTACCTACGCAGACTCGAACCCATGCAAGGCAGGCTTGTAATCCTTAAGGCTACGGTTCTATTCTCGACTGCGACTCATTTTGGAGCACGTGCATCCATTCTGATCATATCTTATTGGGCTTCTGATTTTCCTTGAAATTCGTTTGGAAAGTGCATCAAATGATACCCTATGTTGGTGATTGGGAATCGGACTCGAGACGCCCTGCGTGCTAAGATTTCGATCAATTGCTCTGCTGATATCGAACCTCAGTGGAATCTGCTCTACGCTATCAATCACGGCACTAAAACAACTTTTTTCAACATATCGCGTCAGTACACCGTGCAGTGGCACTCGATTAGATTGTTCTTTGCTGGAACCCTGAAGAGTAGTACTGGCACTGACCAGAGTTCTACCACACTGCCTATCGGACGCGATCTACATTCGGTGTCTGCAGACGAGCAAATTCCTGTCTCATAGGAAGGGGCGGAGTATTGAATAGTGCAGGAACGTCGAGTAATTTTTGCATTCTGTTCCAACTAACCCACGCGCTCATCCTATAGAGTCATCCTTTGTTGGGGCATTCAAGGATCTGATTGGCTCCTAAATTCACTAAGCTGGACAGAAGATTTCCTATGCAGTTGGAATGCTGCCTACAGTCCATATTTTTACAGTCAATTTAAACATCCTAGTTACTTCTAAGATTCGGAGTAGTACCGCTTCCGTTCATCATTTCCGCGCTGTTGCTCCAGTTTATCTCATGTCCCTGCTGTTTGGAGATAGTGATGAGGTCATCTGCGGGTGACTGTCAACTCTTTTCGTGTAGTCGTACGTGATGCTTATCGATGACAACCAATATGTCCATAATGGGCATCCGCAACGCTTGTATCAATCACAGTGGTATTTGCGAGATGGTTGTCTCGAATCATGGAAATACAACCACGTTTTCGGCCTGAACATGATTGTATTTGTCATCGATTTATTTTATGTTTACTTCTCTGACAGCATTACATGCACCACAGACCCACTGTGGCTCTCTTCCGTGGTTTCAAGTGCGCGATCAACTCCATCCATCGCTCTCTCCTATTCCACGTGTTTACCTGTGGATCTTTCTTTACATGAAATAAGTTTGTATTTTCGATAAATCTCCTCAGGTATTTACGATTATAAAATGGAAAGGCACAAAGCAAATGGCTGATGAAGCCAAAGTGGTGGCAATAGTGTAATCACAACGAACAGAAACTCAAAAGTATTGATCAATAAAATCCATTAACAAAACATGTGGCAAAACACGTGTTAGTTGATCGGTGAATTGCCAAGTGCATCATCCGACCACTATGCGCACGGAATGATAAAAGTTGGTGAGCTAACTAGGGCCAGGGTAGAAGAAGCCCTTGCAGCAAGGCCTTCTGTTTACATACTTCCGGTTGAAATATTCCAATCGCTTCGGCCGTCCGTAAGGTTTGCTTTCTAAGACCTTTAGTGTACTTTGGTTGTACTACATAAAGTACTTGGAAGGCATCAGCCGTCCTAAATCGGTGTCCACTTTCCACCAGATGTTCCAGGATGGAACTGTTGGGACGACTGACGATGCCTTTCCGCAAAACCGCTGGGCAGTGCTCCGTAATGCGTTTGGACAGACGCCTGGTTGTGTGTCCCAGTTACCTCACACCACAGGCGCAGGTAAACTAATATATATAAGCTTGGGACTGAACCGGAAGTCTGTCTTTAATGTGTTGGGCTATAAAGGGAGCTGTTTCCGCAAGGACGTATGGTCATGCGGCCAGGAAGGTTCTAGCCACTGCAGTGGAAATTCTTCTTGTCAACAGATCAAAGGTAACATCGCCCTTAAAGGGAATTGATAGAAACACGTCCTTCTTAGAGACAGTAGTAATCACTTCACGGCTATCGCGAATCACTGCATGCTTTTTGATGAATGGTGTCGGATAACCGTTGTCTTGCAGCGTTTTGAGAATACGGATCTTTTCGGCCTCTAGCGTCTCTTGGCTGCAAATTTTCGTAGCACGAAAATACAAGCAGCGAACAAGATTACGTTTGTACCTCAAAGGTACAAAGCTCAGAGAATATGTATATTGGCCTACCCAGGTGATCTTCCAGAATACACTTCTTTCCAATGAACCATCATTTTTTCGGCTTAGCAACATGTCCAAGATGGCTAGCTTACCATCTCTTTCGGTTTCGATGGTAAACTTCAATCATGGATGAAAACCGTTTAACTGGTTTAACAGGTTGGAAACATTGATGTTTGAATCGCAGATTATTAACGTATCATCCGTAGAACGACAATAGAAAGCAAACGAAGCAATGATGGGTCGTATAGCTTCACGCTCAATCATAGCGAGGAAAATATCAGCAAAGAGTGGTCCTAGGGGGGACCCCATCGCGGCACCGTCAATCTGTCTGTAGTAGACCATTAAATAAAAATTGACTATTGAAGGTACATCGTAAAATTAATTCCTTTAATTTCCTCATCAGAATACCCACATTTATGTTCTTTTTATTCATGTAATCACACACAAAATTGACTGTTTCCATCAATGGAGCATTCGTATAAAGTGACTCAACGTCCAGAGAGAGCATCAGTTTTTCATTTACTTTCATGCATTCTACTCGTTTCACAAATTCAAATGTCTTTCACGGTTTATGTGCATAACTCCTTGCGTACTGATTCGAGCAAATCCGCAAGCCATTTCGCAACCGTGCGCCTAAAGTGGTCCGATGATGAACTTGGCATTTCACCGATCAGCTAACACGTGCTTTGTCACATGTTTTGTTAATGGATTTTATTGATCAAGACTTTTGAGTTTCTGATTGTCGTGATTACATTATTCCCATCACTTTGGCTTCATCAGCCATTTGCTTTGTGCCTTTCCAGTTTATAATGGTAAATGCCTGAGGAGGTTTATCGAAAAGAGGACTCTACGCAACATTGTGTTCTTGCATTTACGTGGGTATAATCTACGAAGTTTGTATTTGATGTGTCACCTATTGGATCCCATAGTATCGTGCTCTCCTCTGTGACGGGTTCTTACACATCTTCATTGCGGCTAGTTTTTTATGTAATGGTTATCCCATCTCCCAATTTTAACTTAGACTCCAATGTGGAGTATTTCGTTATGGAGACCCACTATGTGGAAATTGGTCT